CAATTTTTTATCCTTATGAGCCTCTTTCAAAGGTGCACCTTTTTCAGGTTTGTCCTTTATTTTTTCCAAGAAGATATGGTTACTGTACTTATATAGTACTTTCCAAATGTGCTAGGAATACAGTTCCCAGAATCCCCAGGAATTATCGCTAACGTCTGACAAGCATTACTTTAGAGGAAGTTGTTCTAATCACTATACTGTGTAGAGTTACAGAAAAAGTCTTAGTAAGGAACTGAAGCATATTTAGTTCTGCTATTCAAAATCAGCTTTGCATCATCCCCAAAGTTAATAGCCTGGTACTTCTCAGAACCTACTGCATTATTTTCTTGAAATATATCTATCAACAAGAGGATCTGTTGTGATACATGAATGCAGCAGCTTTATTTATTTTGTCCAGGCAAAAATAATAACTGCTTCAAATCTAATCCCAAATCTTTACATTATTTTAGCATTTTCTAGATTTCAGCACTAACTTGCTTTGTACGCAGTGCGGGCTGTGACTGTAGTTAATTTATTTGTTCCTAGCTCATTCAGATGAAACTTAGAGATCTGCCCAAATTACTAGACTCAAACTCTAGAAGTAATCCCATCCTGTCCTTGCAAACATTTGTGCAAAGTAGCATCTGCTTTCAGTCTGATTTCAAGCTGAAAGCTCATAGTAAAATCCTAAACGTATCTACTCAGAAGTAAAGTCTATTGAGTTTAAGAGGCTTTCTTCTAGGTAAGCAGAAAGAGCTAGCCCTCTAATATGACTCAGATAATTTCTCCACTAACACAGTGTCTTCTCGAGTCGTCCAACCATCACTGTGATAAAACAGCAATAATGAGAGCAGGCTGTATTCACTAGTGGGGAAATGGCCTTAAGGAAAGGAACCGTACCAGGTCTTAAGACATTTGCTTGGATTGGTGCTGAAATGAGTAGGATTGCTCAGTCCAAATTGCTGGATATCTATTCACTGTGTAAATATGCTGCTAAATTCTCTTTGCAATCAATAATTGCATTTAGACTGTATTAAGAATGTAAAGACAAAAATTGAACGCAGTTTAGAATGCAGTGATGCTTTTAAATCTTGTCAAAAAGCACCACTGATCTCAGTGAAGCTGATTCCTGAGTGAACACATATCCAAGACTCTTCCTGGGTTCTGCTTGCTCTTTTCTCACTATTGTGGTAACAGAGGAATTAGTGTCTGAAATATTGATGTCTTTTCAGGTCTGAGCACCAGATTTCTAATATAAAATTATGATCCAAACTGACTACTTAGGTTTAATGCTGGGCAGAGAAACTCTCTTGCATTTCTTTATATCCTCAGTGATGAAAGACAATTAGCTTTTGAAATTCTTTCCAACAACAAGAGTATTTTCAAAAAATGCTCATAGATGGCCAAGAGAATTGTGTTCCTTTACACAGTCTTCTCTGTAGCTGTCTGCAGTTTCCCTGGCTTCTCACACTTCAATTCATTCCATGCATAAGCTCTCCCAAAGGCCTTTTTCTGACTGAGAAACATGGAAGTTTCAGAATTACATAGAGATGCATACAAGTGACACCAGTAATAGCACCCCTTGTCACCTCTAACATTACGTTCAAATATACTACCAAGGGAGAATTTTATTTTGGGTACTTAGTTGTGTCATATTTACAGAAGTAAGTTTTAGTCTGTGCAAACTAGAGGAAGACAAATAGAATCCTGCAGAGTCTCTTATCTAATCCTCTTTTAAGTATCCCATACTCTGTAAAGAACTCAAGATAATGTAATCACCAGACTTTAGCTTAACCAAATTAAGGTGTTAGGTTAGTGTTTTCCCAATCTTTGCAACTTTCAGATGTGTGGACCAACTCTCAGAATTCCCCAGCCAGCATAGCCATTACTGAGAATTCTGGGAGTAGAAGTCCACACATCTGGAAGTTACCAAAGTTGAGTAACTCTGCTAGGTTGAGAGAGAGTGATTGGCCCAAAGCCATCCAATAAGAACCCATTTATTCCTGTTCTAAACTTCAACTTGCTAACTCATGCCTTCTCCAAACTGAGACTTTCCAGATGTGTTGGATTGCAACTCCCATTATCCCTGACACTTAATATA